ATTATAAACTTGTCATGTCGCTACAGTAAAAATATTAAAATTCATGTCTTATTTCATTAAGGCTTATGGTTTTTGCACAGAAGCTGTTTGTTTGAGGCTTACTTTTCAGTCTGTTTCTGTCTGTCTCTCAGTAATTTGATAGTCAGGGAGTGACAAACAGGTGACTATATTGAACTGCTGACTTTTACTGTTTACTTTGATCTTGGTTCTCCATATTTAACTTACAGTTTATGCATCAAATTGAAGACATTTTTGCTTAGCTGGAAATATTATGAAGTTATGTTGGAATTTAAATTTTCAAAATTACTTTAGAAATTTTCTCAGTTTAAAATGGTGTCACTTACACCTGATGTCTCTGACATAATGACAACTAAGGATGCACATCCTCCACAGTTTTTTAAAAGTTTTTACAAAATCTTTATGAAGGCAGATTATTCAACTCCTATTTACTGACAGAAGATTCAATGTGCTGATATAAAAAACCATTAAAAACTAGTTTTAACAGGTTGAAACGTGAATCAGAATGACGTCATCATTTATCAGCTGTTTTCATCATTCAATATGGTTAATTTTCAAGCTTCACATTGCCACCCAATAACTTTTTGTACATATTTTAGTAGACATTTAAATCATTAAAAAGTTATGTGATGTTTATTCAGTTTTTATAATTTATTTACAAGCAATAATCAGTAGTTTTCTGTCCTCTGCAGCCTCCTCCATAGTAAACATGCGTAGGATCACTCATCCCACAGTCCAACAGACGCTTGCAGGCGACGCTGTCCTCCCCTGTGTCTTCACCCTGCAGACCAGCTCCTTCGTCCAGCCTCCACACCTCCTGTGGACTCACAGCAGACCACCAGCAGGAGGCCAGCGGGCCCCCGTGGAGCAGATCGTACTTTCTGCTAAAGGTAAAACCAAAACATACTGACTCAGACATTTATTTTTTTTTACATTTGACTTTTGTTCATTTTATTCACTCAGTTTTGGTCTTAGTTATACTAAAATGACACGTTTCCATTAATTTTGTGACTGTCCAGCTCTTTGAATTAATTTGTATGGTTTTGAATGTGCTTCAGAAGTAAATTAACATTGACTTTACTCAGATAAGCTGCAGTAATAATCAGTACAAGTGATGCACTTAACTCAGAAGTTCTGATTCTTTGTTTTTGAGTCCCCCAAATGGGGAAAAAACAAGTTGAAGATACCACATCTGTTAAACTTTAAAGATTTGGTTCAGTGTTGCAGCTTTCATGAACTTCATTTATAGATGTTTTTCTTTTTTTAAAAACTCTCAAGATCCTCAAAAAGAAAATTTAACAGCCAAAAAGCCACATTTCCATCAGAAAGAAAACATTTCCATTGTGGCATGCCAAAGTTATGAACAAAATCCTTGTATGATTTGTCATCACTCAGAGAACGGGGTGAGTCAAAAGTCACAAGACATGACATCTGAATAATGGCATATATTTTAGACTATGTTCAGAACATGGCCACAGTCTCAAAAATGGCCTTATTGGATCAAAACAAGAGTGTCCTTGAGTTTTGACTCACCCTTTATATAAAGGGGATGACTCTTAGTTACTCTGAAATTTAACTTAGTATCTGTAAAACTGACTGACTCAAAATGTTTATGTTTAGTAAAGTTGATTGGCTGGCCATCTTGACTCCAAAAACTATGCAGGTGTAGACTCACATCAAATTACTTTAAGAGAATAAATGGTCCATGACATATTTTGCTAACAGACAGACAGGCTACATTATCACCCACCTTTAGAGGAGAGGAAAATGAAAACTAAAAGCAGGGCTGACATTAGTGTAAAAATTTGTGATAAATAAAGGCAGTAATGTGGGTGAGGGAGTCTATTAAAGCATCCATCAGATGATGGATGTGGACATGTAGGACAAAGGTCAGTTTAGACTCTCAGGTTAGCCCAACATGCATGTTTTGACCATTACTGCTCATTTCTTATTAGAGTCATTGGTGTTATTTTCACTGAGAAAAGTAAAAAAGTCTTTCAGATTGAATATATACAGTATATATATATATATATAT